AATGTCAAAAATTATTTTTTCTAAAAAGAATCAACCAACCGACCACTAGTGACACGTTACCCTATTCACACAATATTATAATCAACAATAATTCGTGCCTAGCCAAATAATCAGTGTACTAACACATATACACTCTATTTATAAGTGTCCAATGTCTTATATTCCAAAATTTAAAGAAAAAAAAAAAAAAAAGAAATAAAATTTAATATGTCCCACTCGAACTACTCCTTTGTACTGTTTGAAGATCCTCACAGGCCAGCTTCCACACAGACCCTCAAAAAAAATCAAAAACTCAACATAGTGCATTACCATTAAAATATATATATGCACTCCACATGTGTTTTTATAGTATATAAGTGCAAAAACGTGAGAAAAAAACAACCACAGCAACTTGTGCCACAACAGTGATGTGTTCCACTCAGTGTATTCACTACAATGATGTCTCACTTCTCATTCTTATAGATTATATACCCTTACCAGAGATTAAAATCTCAAAAACGTTGTAAGGTGCAATCTAGGGAAGTCCTCAACACTATTCAGCCTCCTTGTCTCCACTTTCCAATCTCATCCCCTCCTGGTATCACCAGCCAGTTCCCTGGTCACTCAGATCCACGCAGGATGTATGGGACAGTAATAGTGTAAATCCACAAAAATACCGTAAAATATACTTTTAATATATCTGCTTACATGAATGTAGTAACAGTCGCGCATTCCAAGAAAAACCCCACTGCCTGGGGATTACCACGCAGCTCCTGGGTGGATATCCTCACGATTACCCACTCCAAGATGGCCACCGTATCACTTCCGGTTCCTGCTCCGTACGTCCAACGTCACATCGCCTGACGCGTTTCGTCACATCCGGGACTTAATCTTAAGGGACATGAAATGAGGGAAGTGTTTGCAGTCTGTGTCCTCATGGGAGAGATTTCCCACCACTTCCTGTCCCAACGGGAAGTCAAGTGAAGAGCAATCTCCCCAATGGGTGCACAGACTGCCCAATAGGTACACAGACTGCCCAATGGGTGCACAGACTGCAAATAAATGACTCAACTTTAATTTCTTTGGTCACCTTAAAGACCAAATATTGACCTTGAGAAACATGTCCACTAAGGGCTTGTTCTACAAGGTCCACCCTTCATTTGTCATTCCCTTTACAATAACATCAAAGTATATCTAAAGCCAATTTATTTTTGGATAGAGTAGAGAAGGGTTGAACTACTTGTAAAGGGTCCAATAAGAGTGCCAGACCAAAGATTCAAGAGTCCAAAATCTTTTGATACTACTGTTTGCTCATAACAAGACAACAGACAACACGTTTTGGGGGTTTAGACACCCCCTGTCCTTTATCAAGGCTTATAAATGCCATCACTGGACCAGGGGTGGACTGACAACTAATGGGGCCTCCAGGCAATAGGGGATCATGGGGCCCCTGTGTCCTTGCCCACACTCAAATCACACCCAAAGAAGCCTATAAAAGGTACCAGGGGCATTTCATGGGGTCCCCAACTGACCCCGGGCCCCCGGCAAGTGCCCGAGTGCTTGAATGGTCAGTCCGCCCCTGCACTGGACTCAATATGGTGCTTTTAGTAGAGCAGTATAGGCAAGTCGCATAGCAGATGTGTTGGCTGTTCCATGTTGTCTTGTTTAGAGCAGACACTAATATTAAATGTTTTTTGGTCTCTTAGATCTTTGGTCTGGTGCTTATATTAGACTTTTTTGCATGTGGATCTTAAATTTCAGGTTCCCTTGATAAGGGGTATCCTCACCAGAGCCACTGCGCTCCATATGAACGCAAACTACTTTCTTCAACCATGAACCTTCATGGTTTCTTTCTTGATTTCTTCAACCATGAAAGCAGAATAAGTCTAATCCAAGGTCTCCAATATAAATAGTCTGGCCTTTGTCTCTTAGGGAAGTTATACTTCACTTCCTGTTTTAATGAGACAACAGGAAGTGAAAAGAAATCCCTTAAAAGTGAGGGAAAATCTCATACCGTTTTTTTCCTGGGACTGGTGTCCCCATTGGAAGATTTCCCAGTGACAGCTGTAAAAGTGTATCATTTTTATGTTCTGTCTTAGTACAAATGGTCACCAAGATAAATAGGGGAACTGCTCCACCAAGAGCATATACAGGCTATAGGAACCCTTAAAAGAAAAACTAGGCTCAACCCAGCCCTAATTATCTAGAGCAGCCTTTCTCAACTTTTTGACCCTTGAGGAACCCTTGAAATAATTTTCAGGTCTTGGGGAACCCCTGCCAAAACGATTTAATTGTGGTTTAGTGGGAATAACACCCCCTTACATTGTAATCAGAATGCCACCCTTACAGATAGCTTAAAAAAAAACCAAAAAACATAGATGTCATGCTCTGACATTACCAGGTGGCGTTGACCCCAGAATTATTCAGGTACCATCAAATGGGAGGACCTTAGCTCAAGAAACCCCTCACAATCTTTGGAGGAACCCCAGAGTTCCTCAGAACCCTGGTTGAAATTGGCAGATCTAGAGCTTTATGAACCCTTCCCTACTCCATCCACACCAACAAAACAAGAACGATTTGGACTTTAGATATGTGGTTGGCCGTTGTCACTAGAACCTCCATTTCCCTTCCCAACAACAAAGGAAATTGAGTTTTTTTTTTGATCAAGCAACGTATTTGGCCAATGAACATATTAAAGGGGAGAAAGCAACGCGAGACGAATCCAACTTTTGGATCTCCCCACCGTAGTTCTAAATTGATATAACACAGGAATGTTTGGCAGAGCAGCTAAGCCAAGTGTTAATTGGTGAATTTGTTAACATAACAGCTTAACATTTGGTAAATGAACACGCAGTTGTTGTTATGCTAATGCCTAGCAGTTTTCAACTGCTGTTCTTAAAAATATGCAGTTTGTTTTAGTTGCTTACGAAGGGAATTCTAGCTTACACCAGCCTGAAAAATGTTCTTCAATACATTACAAAGTTTGCAAGCGATTACGGTATTTTGTTAAAGTGAGCTTGTGAGGGTAGAAGTATGGGAGCCACCAACGCTGACTTGTTTTAAAGGTGAAGGTCCCAGGCTATAATATTTGTGACACCAATGCCCAGTAAACATGCGTCCAATGACATCTTTTATGTCCTTGACTGAGGGATTTGCAGAGCACCGAGGCTCAATATATCTCTACTCCAGTAACCCAAAATAAAACGCATGACCAGATGACAAATATCAATTTTGGAGTTGAGTGGCCATAGCAGCCATTTATTTTAACACAGCCAAATAAACTTAATGCAACATTGGGGAAATAATGCAATCAATGCATAACATATAATCAAACATAAACAGAACAGCAATTGATCCTACGAGGTTCAAGGTCTTTGAAGGCACTTAGAAACTCAACAAAACCGGCTGTATCTGCACCCAGTGAAAAGACCGCTTATTATTATTATACAGGATTTATATGGCGCCAACAGTTTGCTCAGCGCTTTACAATATAACGGGAGACAATACAGCAACAATACAGTTCAATACAAGAGGGATTTGAGGGCCCTGATCCTAGGAGCTTACAATCTAGGAGGGAGGGGCTAGTGGTACAGAAGGTAGTAACACTGACACCATAGATAGGGCACTATTCCCAATGACACCAAGGATGGGGCACTATTCCCAATGACACCAAGGATGGGGCACTATTCCCAATGACACCAAGGATGGGGCACTATTCCCCCCACTGACACCAAGGATGGGGCACTATTCCTCCCACTGACACAAATGATGGGGCACTATTCCCCTCACTGACACCAAGGGTGGGGTACTATTTTTTCCACTGACGCCAACAATGGGGCACTATTCTTTCCACTGACACCAACGACGGGGCACTATTCTTTCCACTGACACCGACGGGGCACTATTCTTTCCACTGACACCAACGACGGGGCACTATTCTTTCCACTGACACCAACGACGGGGCACTATTCTTTCCACTGACACCAACGACGGGGCACTATTCTTTCCACTGACACCAACGACGGGGCACTATTCTTTCCACTGACACCAACGACGGGACACTATTCTTTCCACTGACGCCAACGACGGGGCACTATTCTTTCCACTGACGCCAACGATGGGGCACTATTCTTTCCACTGACGCCAACGATGGGGCACTATTCTTTCCACTGACGCCAACGATGGGGCACTATTCTTTCCACTGACACCAACGATGGGGCACTATTCTTTCCACTGACACCAATGATGGGGCACTATTCTTCCCACTGACACTAATGATGGGGCACTATTCCTCCCACTGACATTAATGATGGGGCACTATTCCTCCTACTGATACTAATGATGGGGCACTACTCCTTCCTCTGACACAAAGGATGGGGCACTATTCCTCCCACTGACACCAAGGATGGGGCACTATTCCCCGCACTGACACCAACCATGGGGCACTATTCCTCCCACTGACACCAAGGATGGGGCACTATTCTCCGCACTGACACCAACCATGGGGCACTATTCCTCCCACTGACACCAAGGATGGGGCACTATTCTCCGCACTGACACCAACCATGGGGCACTATTCTCCGCACTGACACCAACCATGGGGCACTATTTCTCTCCCTAATACCAAAGATGGGGCTTTGTTTACTCCCACTGGGCACAGCCTCCCTCCCTTAAAGTCTGAAGGACCGTAAACTGGCCTTTTGTTTAAAAAGTTTTTAGACCCCCTGCTTTAAATGCTGCAACAAAGCTGCTCGAAGCTTGCTGAAGGCTTCACAAATGCTCTGCAACAGCCTTCTACAAACTGCTGAAGCCTCTGTGAACAAGGTCACAAACGAATGTCATTTGGACCTAGATGGCAGCCCTGGAACAGCACCCTTTAAAATGAAGTCAGCAATTGTATCTCCCTTTCTGTCCTTACAGCTTTATTATAAATGGATTTCTGGGTTCCAGTTATCACTTTAGACTGCTGCTTGGGGCTTCTATGACGTACCCGTTGTGATCTCATCACTCTGTGTGTTCAGTCTGCAGTTCCAGCTCCCAATTTCGCCATGCCGGTGACGGTCCCTGTGACCAATCCGAATGCACTGCAGTTCAGCAACCCAGCCGGCTCTCTGGTCACACAGTCCCTGATGACTGCATCGCTCACAGACCCGCGACTTCTGTCTCCACAGCCACCCGCTCTACAGAGGAACACAGTCTCTCCGGTGCTACCTCAGAGACCAGCCAGTGCAGGTGAGGACAACGCCAGGACCAAATGCATGAATGTCCTTTTTTTTTTTTTCCCTAGGTCACCCTAGATGGTCACAAAATTAAAGAGTGTGTTGTAGCCTTTGTGAAGCCAAGAATATGTCTCACTCCTTCCTTCTTCATTCTCTATAATGTAAAATGTTTGATGTATCTGGTGTGGGAAAACCTTATATTGACTGTACCAGGTAGGTGGAACCACAAGGCTCACTGACCAATGAGAAGTCATTTCTTGACTTTAGTTCAAAAACTCCAGCGCTCAGAAAAGTCAAACCAAGTAAATCACATCAGTGCTCAAATCAGGACGCCGATACAGTCTCACGGAAAGAATCACTTCTGTCGGTGAAGCCCTCCTCCAGATTGGGGAATCCTCAAACCACTAGAACAACACACAAGAGAGCGCACACTCCTCGTGATAAATGGATATTATTGCAAAAAAAAAAAAAGGACAAATGGGTACTTAGAAACCAAACTTACAAACAGGCATGTATCAATAGAGTTTCAGTATGGGATCATGGGGTCCTGTCCTGGAACCCTCTGGTTAAGATGTCGACACGTTTTGGGAGCTGTACTCCCTTCCTCAGAGCTGAAGACTCTCATACTCCAGTGCTCAGACTCATACATCCAAAGGTGGCCCAAATCATAATGCTTTGCCTGATGCAGCCCTCATCAGGCTAAGAAATCTCTTAAAGAACTGTAAAAACACACAGGAGAGTGCAAACACCTAGTAGATTACCGCCACCACTACCACCACCGCCACCACCGTTTACTAAAGACAAAAACATAAAAAGGAACAGCCAAATCAAATCTCAACTCTAGCCATGAGGCCATGTTATCTGACTATGCATACCAAGGTTGGAAGGCTAACTTGTTTCTGGGAACGTGCCCCCTTTCCTCAGAGCTTCCATTGAGGAAGGGAGCACATCCCATGAAACGTGTTAGCCTTCCAGCTTTGGTATATGGGAAGGGGGCACATCCCTTCAAAGGTGTTAGCCTTCCAGCTTTGGTACACGGGAAGGTGGCGCATCCCCTGAAACGCATTAGCCTTCCAGCTGTGGTATACGGGAACAGGGGGCACATTCCATGAAACACGAACAGACAATCAAATCTCAATGTTATCGGACTATGAATACCAAAGTTGGAAGGCTAACTCGTTTCTGGGAACGTGCCACCTTTCCTCAGAGCTTCCATTGAGTAAGGGGGCACATCCTATGAAACACGTTAGCCTTCCAGCTGTGGTATACGAGAAGGGGGTACATCCCCTGAAATGTGTTAGCCTTCCAGCTTTGGTATACAGAAAGGGGGGCACATCCCCTCAAACGCGTTAGCCTTCCAGCTTTGGTATACGGGAAGGGGGCACATCCCCTGACACGTGTTAGCCTTCCACGTGTGGTATACAGGAAGAGGGGGCACATCCCACGAAGCGCGAACAGACAAATCAAATCTCAATGTTATCTGACTATGAATACCAAAGCTGGAAGGCTAACGTGTTTCAGGGGATGTGCCCCCCTTCCTGTATACCAAAGTTGGAAGGCTAACTTGTTTCTGGGAACGTGCCCCCTTTCCTCAGAGCTTCCATTGAGGAAAGGGGCACAGCCCATGAAACAAGTTAGCCTTCCAGCTTTGGTATACAGGAAGGGGGGCACATCCCCTGAAACACGTTAGCCTTCCAGCTTTGGTATACGGGAAGGGGGCACATCCCCTGAAACACGTTAGCCTTCCAGCTTTGGTATACGGGAAGTTGGTGCAACCCATGAAACACGTTAGTCTTCCAGGTTTTGTATACGGGAAGGGGGCGCATCCCCTGAAACACAGCCTTCCAGCTTTGGTATTCGGGAAGGGGGCACATCCCCTGAAATGTGTTAGCCTTCTACCTGTGGTATACAGGAAGAGGGGGCACATCCCATGAAACACGTTAGCCTTCCAGCTGTGGTATACAGAAAGTGGCACATCCCCTCAAACGCGTTAGCCTTCAAGCTTTGGTATACGGGAAGGGGGTACATCCCCTGAAATGTGTTAGCCTTCCAGCTTTGGTATACAGAAAGTGGCACATCCCCTCAAACGCGTTAGCCTTCAAGCTTTGGTATACAGGAAGGGGGCACATCCCATGAAACACGTTAGCCTTCAAGCTTTGGTATACAGGAAGGGGGCACATCCCATGAAACGCGTTAGCCTTCCAGCTTTGGTATACGGGAAGGGGGTACATCCCCTGAAACACGTTAGCCTTCCAGCTGTGGTATATGGGAAGGGGGCACATCCCCTGAAACACGTTAGCCTTCCAGCTTTGGTATACGGGAAGGGGGCACATCCCCTGAAACACGTTAGCCTTCCAGCTGTGGTATATGGGAAGGGGGCACATCCCCTGAAACACGTTAGCCTTCCAGCTTTGGTATACGGGAAGGGGGCACATCCCCTGAAACACGTTAGCCTTCCAGCTGTGGTATATGGGAAGGGGGCACATCCCTGAAACGTATTAACCTTCCAGCTTTGATATGCAGGAAGGGGGCACATCCCCTGAAATGTGTTAGCCTTCCAGCTGTGGTATACGGGAAGGGGGCACATCCCCTGAAATGCATTAGCCTTCCAGCTTTGGTATACGGGAAGGGGGCACATCCCCTGAAACGCATTAGCTTTCCAGCTTTGGTATACGGGAAGGGGGGCACATCCCCTGAAACGCGTTAGACTTCCAGCTTTAGTATACATGATCAGATGACATCGCCTCACGAGATTTGATATGCCTGTTCCTTTTTATGTTTGGGACTATGTTTTTGTCTTTTGGATTTGATCAACAGTGGTGGTGGTAATGCACTAGGCGTTTGCACCCTCCTGTGTGTTTTTACAGATCTCTTGACTTTACCAGAAGTCGCATTTACATAATCGAGAACCTTGCGTTTCAGATCTTTGATGATATGCACCATTACTATTTAATGCATTGAGTGAGATGATGGGTTTACTTAAACCCAAGTGCTTTTATGTGTCTTTTGGGCTCAACCAATTATTTTTTAGTTTTTCTCATGGGTTTCTTTTGTGTCTGCAGGTGCAATGCTTGGGGGAGACCTAAACAACTCTAATGGAACCTGTCCAAGTCCTGTAGGTGAGTGAAGACCTTTTCCAGGCCTCAGATGTCTCAGACCTTGGCACCATAAAGTATAGGGAAGCTATCATTGCAGATGGCAGCCCTCGTTCTCCAGCATGACAGTAGATATGCTGTTGGTAATGGGAACCATTTTTCTATTGGGCGCTTCAGTCTCTAAGTCTCGTGGCCTGTTCTCCATGGACTCCCTCTGCTTCTGGGTGGTCTTGGTGAGCTGAGATTCCCACAATGAGGAAAGCAGCAGGGCTTGCTTCTCCCTCTGGCACTGCCGATCAGACCTCTGCCAGTATACACAGGACTCAGGGCCGTTCTCCGCTTTCATCGTGGGTAGCCGCGTGGCCTTCCCTTGTTTCTTGCTAAAATCACAATGGGATTATTCAGCGCCACGGTGATCATGATGATGTGCGAAGCTCTTTAGCTCTTAACAGCTAGTTCGATTTCAGTGTCGGGTCTGGATAGTGAAAATTGAATTATGATTTCTGGCGATAGAGCAGTTTCTATTCTGTAGCAGCATGGCAGAGCTGTGGCTTCTTATTGAGACTCTTGAACTCCCAGTGAGACCTATATGTATCAGGGAGGCACAATATTAATGCTTATATAAATGTAAATAATAAAAGTGCAGCGCTCAAAATGGATTAAAGGCAATATAAAGTCAATGCGATATCCACGGTGCTGTCTGGATTTGAAGAAAACTTCCAGAATTTTACTGCTTCAAATAATAGCAATGCGCACTCACCAGAAACGCATGGATTATGCGCATGTAGGAATAATCATCCCAGATGTCAGATCCATCGAAGGCAGGTGGTGGGCATCCCTCTCACGGTGGGTCATCAAGGACTCCAAATCAGGTCCAGAGGTCCCCTTAAGGTCAGTCAGGTAATCCACACTGATGGTAATGATCCCTCCTCTGGATGGTATAGGCACCTTCTCTGTGGTGCCTTCTCCAATCTTTAACTAACTCATGCAGACTCCACCTCCGCAACATCGCCAAAATCCGCACGTTCCTAACCCCAGAAACCACTAAACAGCTCATCCACTCCCTCATCATATCACGACTCGACTACTGCAACTCCCTCCTCACTGGCCTGCCTCGCCGCTGGCTATCCCCGCTTCAGTCCATCCTGAATATGGCTGCCAGACTCATTCACCTTTCCAACCGCTCCGTTTCCTCCACCCCCCTCTGCCAATCCCTCCACTGGCTTCCGATTGCCCAACGGATCAAATTCAAAATCCTAACACTGACGTACAAAGCCGTCCACCATACTGCCCCAAACTACATCACTGACCTAATATCCAAGTACCGCCCAACACGCACACTCCGCTCCTCACAAGACCTCCTTCTCTTTAGTTCCCTGGTCTCCTCCTCCCATGCCCGCCTCCAGGACTTCTCCAGGGTGTCACCCATCCTCTGGAGCTCCCTGCCCAAACCCATCAGATTATCACCTACTCTCCTCTCCTTTAGGCGCACCCTGAAAACCCACCTCTTCAGGGAAGCCTACCCCACCCCCTGCTAACTTGCCGACCTCCTCCACTCCTCCTACCACTCCATCCCCCACAGCTATCTCCTCCTGTGCCACCATCCCCTCCCTCCTAGATTGTAAGCTCGAAAGAGCAGGGCCCTCAATCCCCTCATGTTTTGCATTGTATTGGTATTGTTCTGTCACATGTTCTGTCCCCCTCTGTAATGTACAGCACTGAGTGAACTATTGGCGCTTTATAAATACTGTATAATAATAATAATAGCACTAAAACCCCAACAGGGGCCCTAACCCTTCCTTGCTCCATCCAAAATTTGGCCTTGGGTGTACTTCAGTTATGGTGAACATCCTAAAGCACGAGCATGCAAAGCTTCAAGACCATAGCATGGCCGTACCACCGCTGGAGCCTTCACGTTGGCATCCCCAACCCACCAGACCCCACTCATCACTGAAATATCAGTTTTTGTGTAGATTGTTCACTTTAAATAGTCTCTTCGACAGCAAATTGATGTGCCTCTCCTCTCTCGGCTTCCATCTGCAACGGCATATACTCCAGTATTCCCCAACCCACCGGGACCGGTAACTGACGAGGAGAGCTCAATATGAGAACAGCTGCGTTAATTAGCAGGTCATCTCCTAAACACTCTAATTATCTCTGCTGAGTACAATGGATGTAATCTGCAAAACGGCACTATTAGCACAGGAAGAGCTGGAAGACGGGCTACACTGCGCTGCCTGGATGTGTCGCTGCTGTTGGTTTCTAAAGCTCCAAAGTCAATGAAATCAATATTATTATAGATGTAAATGGCTGTAGCATCACCCGGGAGCCCCTCGGTGGAGAAGGTGCACCGCTTTCATTGCGAAACCAGAAACAAAGCTGCGGTTACTTCTTTATCTCACCGTTATCGCGCAAATGCTAGCAACAGGCGAATATAGTCTGATTGTACAGTCTCTGGAAAGCCGGTCATGCACCTTAAAATTTGGTTGTATAATCTGCTGAAATGTAGCCATACAAATGTGATTGGTTACTTTTATATATATCCCAACCACAGCACCACCTGCCTGGAGTTTGCATGTTCTCTCTGTGCCTGCGTGGGTTTCCTCCGGGTACTCTGGTTTCCTTCCACACTCCAAAGACATGCTGGTTAATTGGATCATGTCTAAATTGGCCCTAGTATGTGTATGTATGAATGGAAGTTAGGGACCTTAGATTGTAGGCCCCTTGAGGGTTAGGGACCTTAGATTGTACGCCGCTTGAGGGTTAGGGACCTTAGTTTGTAGGCCCCTTGAGGGTTAGGGACCTTAGATTGTACACGCCTTGAGGGTTAGGGACCTTAGATTGTACGCCCCTTGAGGGTTAGGGACCTTAGATTGTACACGCCTTGAGGGTTAGGGACCTTAGATTATACGTCCCTTGAGGGTTAGGGACCTTAGATTGTATGCCCCTTGAGGGTTAGGGACCTTAGATTGTATGCTCCTTGAGGGTTAGGGACCTTAGATTGTACGCCCCTTGAGGGTTAGGGACCTTAAATTGTACGCCCCTTGAGAGTTAGGGACCTTAAATTGTACGCCCCTTGAGGATTAGGGACCTTAGATTATACGCCCCTTGACGGTTAGGGACCTTAGATTGTACGCCCCTTGAGGGTTAGGGACCTTAGATTGTACGCCCCTTGAGGGTTAGGGACCTTAGATTGTACGCCCCTTGAGAGTTAGGGACCTTAGATTGTATGCCCCTTGAGGGTTAGGGACCTTAGATTGTACACGCCCTTTGAGGGTTAGGGACCTTAGATTGTACATGCCCCTTGAGGGTTAGGGACCTTAGATTGTACACGCCCCTTGAGGGTTAGGGACCTTAGATGGTACGCCCCTTGAGGATTAGGGTCCTTAGATTGTACGCCCCTTGAGGGTTAGGGACCTTAGATTGTACGCCCCTTGAGGGTTAGGGACCTTAGATGGTACGCCCCTTGAGGGTTAGGGGCCTTAGATTGTACGCTCCTTGAGGGTTAGGGGCCTTAGATTGTACGCCCCTTGAGGGTTAGGGACCTTAGATTGTACGCCCCTTGAGGGTTAGGGACCTTAGATTGTACGCCCCTTGAGGGTTAGGGACCTTAGATTGTACGCCCCTTGAGGGTTAGGGACCTTAGATTGTACGCCCCTTGAAGGTTAGGGACCTTAGATTGTACGCCCCTTGAGGGTTAGGGACTGATGTGAATGTACAACATATATGTAAAGCGCTGCTTAAAATTGGATGGCGCTATATAAGTACCTTAAATAAATAAGTATTCGAGCCACTGAAAACAAGTGATTAGTTCTCTCAACAAACGCAAATCTATTTGATTGGAAGCAGTCAACAAAATTCCTCCAAAGCCAATAGTCAAAATCAATCAATCAATCGAGAGAACAATGATCAAAAGGAGGATTCTTTGTTTACAATTTTGATTAAATTTGATCATTTTATTGAGTGTATGCGTATATCAAAAGTAATTTTTGTACGTCTTCTCTGGTCAGTTTATAATATTGAGCCATACTGACGCTTACACTGCTTCGAGCAGTAAAAGGGTTAATTGTTAGCACTCTTGGTCCCCCCCCCCCCAGTTCTTGAATATAATGTTATTTCCCCCCCGCGTGATTATTAAGTCCCTGTTACGGTGGGTGAACGCAGCGAGTAATCAGCCTGCCTCTTTGATTAATATGATTTCATTAACATCATTAGACTCAGCGTGCAGTGAGTAGCCCCTCCCCCCTCCCCTCTCCCCACTGCCGATGCCACACCACCGTCACGGTGTTGTCCAAGACGTTCAAGTCTCCTTTCCCTTTAATCAGATTGGACACCGACGGGCATGTGGCCCTTCAGAGTTGTCATTCGAATTTCCCCTGGCAGCGAACGAGTTTCACAGTGGGGAATCGTGAAATTCGCTGAAGCGATACCAGCGTGTACCCAGTTAGGAGACTCGGGCAAAGCATGGGGTGGGTGCGGAAAGTCTAGCACCTGATGACATTCATGTAATAAACAAAAATTCTCTTCTAAGTCAACTGATGCTTTGGACATGCAAGCCTAGCGACAGGTTTACCCACTTCATACTGGTTGACTGTTTCACAGACATTGCCCAGGATATCTTTCCTGCTTCATGAAGAATCCCAATCTGTGCTCAGTGACAGTGTGAACATGGCCTGAAATATTCAAGGAGAGCACGTTTATGTCTGATCGTGAACAACGGCCATCTAAAACGTGTCCGTAACTTGTCCATATTTATTTAGGAAGTCCAGAGTATAGTTGTAATGAGGCCTTATTTATATAATGTTTCCAAAATCTGGCCTTGTTTATGTAGATAATCCAAACTGTGGTTGTAATGAGGCCCTATCTGTTTAGGTAGTCCAAAGTGTGTCCATAAACTGGCCTTGTTTATAGTCTGTCCAAAATGTCGTCTTAATGAGGCCTTATTTAGGAAGTCCAAACTGTGACCATAATCTGGCCTTGTTTATTTAGGTAGTCCACAATGTGACCATAATGTGGCCTTGTTTATTTCGGTAGTCCAAAATGTGACCATAATGTGGACTGGTTTATTTAGGTAGTCCAAAATGTGACCATAATGTGGCCTTGTTTATTTAGGTAGTCCCAAATGTGACCATAATGTGGCCTTGTTTATTTAGGTAGTCCAAAATGTGACCATAATGTGGCCTTGTTTATTTAGGTAGTCCAGAATGTGACCATAATGTGACCTTGTTTATTTAGGTAGTCCAAAATGTGACCATAATGTGGCCTTGTTTATTTAGGTAGTCCAAAATGTGACCATAATGTGGCCTTGTTTATTTAGGTAGTCCAAAATGTGACCATAATGTGACCTTGTTTATTTAGGTAGTCCAAAATGTGACCATAATGTGGCCTTGTTTATTTAGGTAGTCCAAAATGTGACCATAATGTGACCTTGTTTATTTAGGTAGTCCAAAATGTGACCATAATGTGGCCTTGTTTATTTAGGTAGTCCAAAATGTGACCATAATGTGGCCTTTTTTATTTAGGTAGTCAAGAGTATGGTCATAATGAGAACTTGTTTATTTGGGTTGTCCAAAATCTGGCCATGTTTATTTAGGTAGTCCATAGTGTGGTTGTAATGTGTCCTTTTTATTTGAGTAGTCTACAATGTGTCCATAATCTGGCCTTCTTTATTTTGATAGTTTAAAATGTGTCTGAAATCTGGCCTTGTTTATTTAGGTAGTCCATATTGTGGTTGTAATGTGGCTTTCTATATTTAGGTAGTCCAAAATGTGTCCATAATCTGGCCTTGTTTGTTTTGGTGATCCATAGTTTGGTTGTAATGTGGCCTTGTTTATTTAGGTGGTCCAAAATGTTCTGTAATCTAACCTTGTTTGCTAAGGTAGCTCAGAGTGTGGTCATAATGTGGACTTGTGTTTTATGTAGTCCAAAATGTGACCATAATCTGACCTAGTTTATTTCTGTAATCCAAAATGTATCCAAAATCTGGCCTTCTTTATTTAGGTAGTCCAAAATATTTCCATAATCTGGTCTTGTTTATTTTGGTGACCCATAGTTTGGTTGTAATGTGGCCTTGTTTTTGTAGATGGTCCAAAATGTTCTGTAATCTAACCTTGTTTACTAAGGTAGCTCAGAGTGTGGTCATAATGTGGACTTGTACTTTAGGTAGTCCAAAATGTGACCATAACTTGACCTAGTTTATTTCTGTAGTCCAAAATGTATCTAAAATCTGGCCTTCTTTATTTAGATAGTCCATAGTGTGGCTGTAATATGGCCTTGTTTACTTAGTCCAAAATGTGACCATAATTTGGTCTTGTTTATTGAGGTAGCTCAGAGCGTGGTCGTAATGTAGACTTGTTTTTTTAAGTAGTCCAATATGTGACCATAATCTGGCCTAGATTATTTAGATAGTCCAAAATGTGGCCATAATTTGGTCTCGTTTATTTAGGTAGCTCAGAGCGTGGTCGTAATGTAGACTTGTTTTTTTAAGTAGTCCAATATGTGACCATAATCTGGCCTAGATTATTTCGATAGTCCAAAATGTGGCCATAATTTGGTCTCGTTTATTTAGGTAGCTCAGAGCGTGGTCGTAATGTAGACTTGTTTTTTTAAGTAGTCCAATATGTGACCATAATCTGGCCTAGATTATTTCGATAGTCCAAAATGTGGCCAAAATTTAGTCTTGTTTATTTAGGTAGCTCAGAGCGTGGTCGTAATGTAGACTTTGTTTTTTTAAGTAGTCCAATATGTGACCATAATCTGGCCTAGATTATTTAGATAGTCCAAAATATGGCCATAATTTAGTCTTGTTTATTTAGGTAGTCCAGAGTGTGGTCATGATGTGGCCTTGTTTATTTTGGCCAAAATCCGGCCTTTTCTTTATTTAGGTAGTATGGTTGTACCAGAGTATGGTTGTAATGTGGCTTTATCTATTTAGGTAGTCCAAGATATGTCTGTAATCTGTCCTTGTTTTTTTTAGGTAGTCCAGAGTGTGGTCGTAAGGAGGGCCTTATTTATATAGGTAAGCCAAAATGTGACCATAATCTGGCTTTTATGCTTTTATATATTTACTTATCTCAGAGTATGGTCATAATCTTGTTTATTTAGGTAGTCCAGAGTGTGGTCATAATCTGGCTTTATACATTCATTTAGTACAGAGTATGGTTCTAATCTAGCCTTGTTTATATAGATAGTCCAGAATCTGGCTTTATATATCTGGGAGTATGGTGATAATCAGGCCTTATACATTTTATTTAGCTCAGAGCATGGTCATAATCTGGTTTTGTTTATTTAGTTAGCTCTGAGTATGGCATTAATCTGGCCTTGTTTATTTAGGTAGTCCAGAATGTGGTCATAATCCGGCCTCGTTAGCAGACAGGCCATGCCTACAACCGTGAGCTCGGCCTAGTGCATACAGAAGAGTAAATGTACATGAGAGCAGAGATGCAGGCCTACAATCCCCATCAGCTGTTTCAGATTCTGGCCAGTCTAGTTCTGTGAATGTCAGAATTGACGTCACCCTGCATTCTCAGCATTCCTGCTGCCCGCTTCTAGAAACTAGAGTATGGTTCATGTTGGAGGGCTGTGAGGAAGACAGCCCCGCTTCATACACCAAGCCTCGGCCTGCACTTCCAGTTTCCACCTGACAAAGTCAAGCCGACTTATAGGCAGACATGTCTTTCTTTCAGTATGGCCTGTTACAGCAGCCATTTTGCAACCCCGAACAATAACAGGCCCCCTTTGTGAAGGTATTCTCCTTCTAGAGTTTTGAAAAGAGCGAGTGATTTAGACTCACTTCCTGTTTCACTCATCAACTTGACAGGAAGTGATGACAAATCTCTCTCATTTGGGCAGGGAAACAATAAAATCCTAAACTATTTTATGTATGCTAGAACTATTATTTTTTAGGTATCTGTGTCCCCTATGGGGGGGGATTTCCTTTTGCATCCTGTTTTGTCAGACACCAGCCAAGTCTTGAGTGATCATACACAATAGACTTCCTATTTATATGGGTCGTGTTTGATTCGTTCTGTTTATTTTGTGACATACACAAGATTCTTTCATGTAATCGCTGTCCTGTGTGTCCTTCTAATTTAGGCAACGGCTACATCAGTGCACGAGCCTCTCCGGGCCTAATACCGGTATCCAACGGCAACAGCCTGGGTAAAGTTATCCCAGCCAAGAGCCCTCCGCCTCCCTCCCAGAACAATCAGCTCGTCAGCAACAGTCGCAAACCCGACCTGCGCGTCATCACCTCACAGAGCGGCAAAGGATTAATGCATCATTTGGTGAGTACTGAGCCTCATTATGGCACCGCCTTCCTCCAGATTTACCTTCGATATTTGCATTCTGGGAAATATACAACAGCACGGTATTTTGCACCACCCGTCTAAACACTTGGTGCATTTAGCACTTGAGAACTGAATCATTTCAGTGGCCAGAATCAATGAATATTCTGGCCAATGAAATGAATAAACGCCCAAATGCTTGACTTGCCTACCGTCTTTGAAAAACACGGCTTTAGGCGCATTTTCAAAGCTACTTTTCTCCTGTTAGGAGAAAAGTGGTCAGAAGAGCCTAGTGTGCAGAAGGACTTCCACTTTGTTTTACTTATTTTACCTATTTTTTTTTCTAAGTGCATTTATAAAGCATTTACAGCCAATAAAAATTGCTGCTCTTCAAGTAGGAGCTGATTGGACAAATTTTGTCAGCAAGTATGCATGTATGTGGTCCATGTGAAGCTACTTTGGTGCCATGTGGTCCAGGTGAAGTCAACCCTTGTGTCTAGTTGTCGAGAGCTAGTCTATTCCAGTCAGGGGCGGACTGACAACTCATGGGGCCCCGGGCAATAGGGGATCATGGGGCCCCTGTGTCCTTGCCCAAACTCAAAAAAGCTTATGAAAAAGGTACCAGGGGCATCTCATGGGGCCCCCTACTGACGCCGGGCCCTCGGGCAGTGCCCGAGTTTCCAAATGGTCAGTCCGCCCCTGATTCCAGTACCTTTCTAGCTCCTTTAATTATTACCATGGGCCTTCAGTCTCAACGCTAGTAGTCATAACCACATTTTCTCACCAATGTTCTCTGATCCATCCAGGTATAATCTATTACAGATCAATTTAGCAAAGTCTGATATTAAGTCCACTGATGTGATTTTAGACCCTGATGAAGGAGAGCAGTATGTCCCCTGAAACGCGTTGACGTTTTACGGGACCTTACTAATAATCGTTAAAACGATTTGGACTCTCTTGACATTTAGTCTGTTGCTCCTCCTGTTTGTGGCTTGCAGCCAGCTGAGGTCTTAGGGCAACTTGACACAAGAAAGGGCCATTGCACGGGATGGGAGCGACGATGGCCCAGGGTAATTTAATCATGACCAACATGGTATATTAGTAATGACACACTGGAGAAAAGGACGCTAGTGGAACATGCAATATGCACTAGGTAATGACCACTGGACAAGGGTCAACACTGAATATGGTGACTATCCAACTGTTGACACCTAGAGGGACAGTCACTACATTCATGGTTTGAAGGCCACTAGATCTAAGGACTGACCGGCACTACAACCAAGGGACTGCCACTTCTACAGTCTTCGTAGTGCCGTTTACTAGGCCATTACTACAAATTAATGGTCAGCACTTTGGCCAGGTAAAGAAAAGCAGTGACCTCGGCTGTGAAAATGACTACCAAAGTATATTTAGGGATTAGACATTTAATTAAAGCGTATCACTAGCCAAAACTTTATTGGGGGCATTTTGAATATTGTGTGGAACGTTTGGAAGGAACTCTTGACAAGTTTTTATTGCTGTCTGTTCCCCCACTGCAGTGATTCACCCTCTCTGTTTGTCCTAATAATCAGAACATAAAGTGAAGGGAAGTTCAAAATTTGAGAGTTTCCTCTGGAAGAGAAGTTGACGTGAAACCATCCACTGGGGACATCCGTCTTGGTGACAACAATCCAAGAGGGGATTCTTCTCCCTTCTTGTTGTGTCTCCAGGCATTCTCCCTAATGTGACACAGATAGCAAAAAAAAACCTGAAAGGGTATCTGTTTCCTACTCTATCCAAACGTTCTGGTTAGCAATACACTTTCCAGTTTTGCCCACATGACATCTACGTACCTTCTCATCGACTGTAACATGCAATATCACAATAACCACTTTTTGCAGTACATATCAAATGATACATCTTCGAAATATATTATTTTTCTAAATTCTTACTGTTTATTGCTGTATTATACAATGACTTCCTGTGTGTTGAGTCCCATGAACCATTTCCCTATTAATAAGCTTTGTTTGGTGTTTTTTTTTTTTTTCTTTTCCTCTCTGCCTTTCAATAATCTGCTTTTTGCACCCAGACGGAGGAGCAGTTGGAGATGGTGAGTTGACTTGCTTGCATCTCTTTCATTACTGTGAATTCTGTGTCCGCTTTCAGTATTTTTTTCAGCGCTTTACTGTTATAAGCAGGAAATCATATAGCCAGCCATCTTGTACTTTGAAACCAATCTTTACTGACAACAAAAAAGGCTTATTTTATAACAAAATGCAGCTTATAATGGTTAATGCTCGATAGTGACTCATAGCATTCAGAAATTGGCTTTTGGCACATTTGGGCGAGGACCATTTGACTGTCTTCCAGTCTTGTCCCAAAACAAAGTAGAATTAGGTCACACAAGGGTTTCTTTTTATGCTACGAAGCAGGGAAGGTGTGGATTTAGCCATGGCAGACCATCCTGACACTAGCTTATTGAAGAAGAAATATTGGCAATTGGGCAAAATTTTTTTAAACTTGACCCTATAATTTTCTGAACTGTCATGTGATGATCCAAGGTGGCACAAAGTCCAACTACACTACTATCCATTCATCCAAACAACAGGAACAGAGTCCCCAACTGGGACCTGCGCCTCTGATGTGTTTCAAGATTAAGCTCAGCCTTGTGTGTGTGAAACATGCTAAAGGAGGAGGTTGCAGGCCAAGATCTGTTCATGTTGGCTAGATGACTAAAGTTACCAATGTTCCTTTGGTTTTGTTCATTCACTGGGTTAGGATGAGGTCCTTCTTGCATTCACCAATCTTCCATGGAAGTGATTGTCTGTGGGCACCTTAAAATACCCCCCTATGAACCAAGAGAAAGGGGGCAGGATGCTTTTGTTATGATGGGACGGAACTCAAGACAACCTTTTTCTAAAGCTTCAGATAGAGTAAGGAAGGATTGGACCCTCTGGTGGGTTTCTAATGCTGCCTAACTGTCCGTGGGACATCACAGCACACAATTAATGAATTCAAACAACCTTGTCAGTGCTACAAGTGAATGAGGCTAAAGTGTAGGCCCAGAGCAGGCTCCTATTTATTCTTGTTGCACAGAGAATTAGACCACCACTGGGAACCTCAGCACCACATCGGCCTTGTTGCCAACTTCAGGTTGGGTTGAACTAAAACTGAAACATAAACAGAGGAAGGTGGTACAGCATCATAAAACCTTTAATAATGTAAAAAAAATATATTTTAATATACTCCCAAAAGTACACAAAAAGAGCATGTAACGTGATCCAACCCAACGCTGTAAATCCGTCCATTCACTGGGGTGTAGCTTACACATTTGAAGGGTGATGCCCTCTTCCTCAGACAGAGCTGACCCAATCCCCCTTGCTAAAGTTTATATTTACTCTGATACAATGACTACCCAGGGTACAAGAGCCCACCCCTATAAGGGAGAGGGGCACAAAAAATGGACAAAGCACTCAAAGAGTGTTAACCCTGGAAGCTCATAGCCGCCCACAGTTAATGAAGTTTAAAATGGCAGCATACATTTTGATCACACATGATACTTGGCCTAAGATGCGTTTTTCCAACTTTTGCATCCATTGCTCCTGCTGAATTTTGCTAGCCATTTGCAAAAGTGGGGAGGTGGTTTAAAGAGGAAAAATGTAACATGGACCCTGTACTTTTACCTTACACTGGTCAACAGGGTCATTTTACTGTATGGATTTAAGGTACATGTACTTATTTTCCACCCTACCTTGCCCATTGGCTTACATTGATGAAAGTCAAGACTTGTACAGAAGCTACACACACTGCTCCTGGCCCCCATACAACAATTCTTGAGCCTGGTGGCTGACTGCAGCATTTTGGGTATTTTTTCTTGAGCCTAGTGGCTTTTTTTTTTTTGGGGAGGCAGGAGAACCATCATGTGTTCCCCTACCTGGAAGTACCTGGTATTTTCTGGTTGGACTGGTGGTGCAACAGCATGGTGGGGGATCAATCAGAAGGTCAGAAAATGTACGTTAGGTGGACCTTTTTCTTTGTCCAATATGAGCTCACTTTAAGTGGTCATTTTTTGCTATAATCCATTGAGTACTCAGACCATGGCTTCATTGAAGGTTGTCCAACACATGGAAAAAGATTTTGGCAAAGTACAACATATACACGGAGGTCATATAATTTATATCCAAAGGTCATGATTTTTTTTTGTTCTTTAAAGTACTAAATTGCTGCTTAACATTTCTGACTGTTTAAAGTAGCAGTCAGCTTTCCACACTTAGGCCTAATTCCTAAGTGATGTCACCACTTCCTAATACCCTGAAGGGGGATGTGTTATCAAGAACATTGGCTTGAGGGACAAAATGGCTGGCAAGAGTTAGACAAAACTCTTTGATTCTCCTGAGAGTTGCATGTCAGTGCCGCATACATCACAGGCATTTAGTGGTCACAGAAGGCCTTGCAAGCGTCTTTTTTGAAGGCTGGAAATCACATGGCTGCGGATGAGGGGGAGTTGAAGGCAGCTCATTCTTCCAGAAGCATGTCTGGAGGAAATGACCCTCCCAGCTGCCCTTTTTTCACACCGAGGATGTGTGACCTAACCCAGCTTGTGATGATCCAGAGCCATGAAAGGCTCATTGTCTGATGTTCGGAGGATGAGAGAGGAGAGGAAACATCACAGCCTGTCCCTCTTAACTCCCTCTTTCCGCAAAGGAACTGCAAATAAGACTCTTAAATAAGAAAAGAGTACTGGGTAAATGCTGCTTTGCATGGCAGGCAAAATGATTCACCCTGCGGGTTTTAAAGAGAACAGGTCATCAAAATGCATTTGAAGTAGTAATCTGAGTCTCCACTCTTGAGTGGTTATAATAGTACAGCTCTAAAGCAGCCCATAGATGACTCGATTTTCATACCTTCCACCATGGATGGAAGGAAAGAAAAATGCTGGACTCCCCCATCAACACTGACTGCCTTCCACACTCCAAGGGGTGGGGTTGGGGTGCAGTTTGGCTGGGGGCGCACGGGGCTTTCCCGGCCAGCAGAGCACGATTACTGCTAGGGGCTATAGCCGTTGGCAGTAATTGTATGTAAAAATCCAACAGGCTGGTTGTACCCAAGTCGATCGCTGTGCAAAAACATTGGATATGAAATTCCCCAACCGGAGCAATTCTCACGTGGTCATACATGGGTCACCAGTGGTCCACAGGAGGGGTGCTGGGTCTCATGAATGACATTATCAGTGTTGCTAGAGGGCAAAGCACTAGAGGGTTGAAGTAGCAGAAACCACGGCAGTGACATCCCCCACTCTGCTAAAGAAAAAAAAAAAAGTGTTTTATTGCTGTTGTCAGTCACTTCCTGTCCCGGTCACATGGATGGCCATGGGAAAAAAAATTCTGATGTTTAGATACGCACACTGTTTGACTGTTAACCCCAAAATCTTCCAGTTTTGCAAGCGATGTTCAGATTAGTCCCATAAGTTGTGCATGGCGGCCTGTAGGATGGCCGAAAATATTGTATATTTCTAATAGTAGTGTGTTGTGATGTCCCCAGATTTATATATTCTGCTCTTCCACTAGAAGTGATCGCTGCGTCTCTTGTCTGCTCCTGTTTTACAGAACGCACAGCGGTTAGGAGGAGCGTCGCAAGCAGCACACTCTTTAACCACCCCGGTTGTTTCAGTGGCAACGCCCAGTTTACTGTCCCATCATGGACTGCCTTTCTCTGCCATGTCCACAGCGTACAACACAGGTGAGTGTTACCCACCAGCTGTAGATGATGTATGAACTACGTTCAGTTCTGTGTCTATTGTCTACCTTCTCTTCCTAATGAGGCTCTAAGGTTCTAGGTAGCCCTAATGAGGCTCTAAGGTTCTAGGTAGCCCTAATGAGGCTCTAAGGTTCTAGGTAGTCCTAATGAGGCTCTAGGTCATCATAATAACAAAGATAACCTGTGCTTCACCTTTGCAGTGCAGAGAAACAGGTCTACTTAGTCATTTGCCCACTATTGTGTGTTGTCCAAAGTCAAGTGACCTACCTTCCAGGTATGGGATGGTAGGTGACTCTAACCTAAGCTCAAGCACTGTCACATGGGGTGCATGGAGAAAGTCCTTAGATCTGTTTGGGTGTCAGCAAAACCAACCGCCTTGTAAGCTTTCCCATTTTGTTGTCTTAGAACATTGATCTCCAATCTGTGGCCTGTGGGAGAGATGTGGCCCTTTTGTTTGCCTTTATCTGGCCCTTGGGGTACTATTACTTCCACTGATACCAGGCACTATTCCTCCCATTGACACAAACAATGAGGCACCATTCTTTCCACTGACACCAATGGTGTAGCACTATTTCTCCCACTGACACCAACAACGGGGCATTATTCCTTCCACTGACACAGAGGATGGTGCACTATTCATCCTACTGATACCAATGATGGGGCCCTATTCCTCCCACTGACACCAATGGTGGGGTCCTATTCCTCCCACTGACACCAATGGTGGGGTCCTATTCCTCCCACTGACACCAATGGTGGGGCCCTCTTCCTTCCCCTGACACCAGTGATGGGACGCTATTCCTCCCACTTACACTAATGGTGGGACGCTATTCCTCCCACTGACACAAACAATGGGGCACTATTCCTCCCACTGATACCAATGATAGAGCACGATCCCTCCCACTGACACCAACGATGGGGCATTATTCCTCCCACTGACACCAACGATGGGGCGCGATCCCTCCCACTGACACCAACGATGGGGCACTATCCCTCCCACTGACACCAACGATGGTATGCCACCAGGTATTATTACATTTTTTTTTTTTTTTACTCCCAATGACCACCAAGCCTGAGGCATTTATTACCGATGCCGGGACATTTTCTGCTCCAGCTGGCCACAGTCCAACTCCCTTTGTAAACCGGCCCTTTGTTTAGAAAGTTTGGAGACCCCTGTCCTAAAACATCGAAATACAGTGACTAAAATTTGTTTGTTTTTTTTACACTAAACAAAAATATCTTGTTGTATGTCAAAGACATACCTTGGCAAAGGGAACAAAATCAATATCTAGGTTAGCAGAAAACAAGGCCCAACGTGGCGCTATGTCCTACTTCAACCATGGTGGTCTGTCCAATGGAAGAAAAACAGCAATTCTCACCCTTTTGCCGTTCATTCATTTTTATTTCAGAGTTTATAAAGAAGTACAATAAAATAAATGACACAATTAGTTAAGATACATTAAATAATGGCTCTGTCTATGAACATGATGTCCCATCTGGATCTTCACCCAGTTGGGTGTTGAATCCAACGAAAAAAGAAAGAAAGAGAGCAATAACACAGGGTGGGGGGTGAAAAAAAGGGAAGGGGGTTGAGGAACATGCATGCCTATGTGGACTTGCTCAAAGAGCCAGTAGGCCATAACCCGAAATCTGGGGGTAGGTAGTGTGGAGCCATGGGGACCATGTTTTTTTTTTCCCCCAAAGAGGTCATTCAAAAGAGTGGTCATCTTGTCATTAAGCTTCCTCCAGGATACTCTAGATTTTACCTCCCTGAGGGTTGGAATCAATGGATTTCCATGACTTTTCTATGGTCTGCTTGGTTTCTGTAAGGATCTATATAATTATTTGAACTGGGTGTGTGTTGGCCTCAGTTGGATCTGTAAGGTGGTATTCAGCATTTGGTAAGTGTGGAATCATAGGTTGCTTACCACCAGGTGACATGTCCACCATATAGGTTAGGCAATTTCGACTTTTAAGAAGTCAAGAGAACCTGATGGGCAATTTTGACCTTTTTCGTCGAGAGAACCTGATGGGCAATTTCGACCTTTTTCGTCGAGAGAACCCGATGGGCAATGTTGACCTTTCGTCGAGAGAAACCCGATGGGCAATGTTGACCTTTCGTCGAGAGAACCCGATGGGCAATGTTGACCTTTCGTCGAGAGAACCCGATGGGCAATTTTGACCTTTTTCGTCGAGAGAGAACCCGATGGGCAATTTTGACCTTTTTCGTCGAGAGAACCCGATGGGCAATTTTGACCTTTTTCGTCGAGAGAACCCGATGGGCAATTTTGACCTTTTTCGTCGAGAGAAACCGATGGGCAATTTTGACCTTTTTCGTCGAGAGAACCCGATGGGCAGTTTTGACCTTTTTCGTCGAGAGAACCCGATGGGCAATTTTGAACTTTTTCGTCGAGAGAAACCGATGGGCAATTTTGACCCTTTTTGTCGAGAGAAACCGATGGGCAATTTTGACCCTTTTCGTCGAGAGAACCCGATGGGCAATTTTGACCCTTTTCGTCGAGAGAACCCGATGGGCAATTTTGACCTTTCGTCGAGAGAACCCGATAGGCAATTTTGACCTTTCGTCGAGAGAACCCAATGGGCAATTTTGACCTTTCTTCAAGAGAACCCGTTGGGCAAATTTGACCTTTCGTCAAGAGAACCCGATGGGCAATTTTTGACCTTTCGTCAAGAGAACCTGTGGGCAAAGCAAGGCATCCACCTGTCTGCTGTCCAGAGTGGCATCTCCAATACTTTTGGGTGGGGAGAGTTCATAGACTTGTATAAGATCTAACCAGACCAATGTGGATTCTTAAAAAAAGTATTAGCGGCCTTGGAAGCTGTCATGTGTTGTCATAAATCATCTCACAGATTTCTATGAAATGATTTAAACTAATAACACAGTTGGAGAAGAAGGCCCATTGTGACCCCATTTCCTGCTTCAGCCTATTGGATTGACGCAAGACTGACCTACATTGATATGGTACCTGCTGGGGTTACGGGAGTTTCTGGATCACCTGTGGAACTGGCTGTTGACTTGGTGGGTGGATTGCCGACCTGCTTACTGTAGACTAGTCACCATCCGGTTCTGGAAGCATACCCTGAGAAACCTGTTTTTTTTTAAAGATCCCCATCTTCATGTGCTGGTGAAACCAAATACACCCAGAGAAGGCAGGGGCGGGAGGGGAGCACAGACAAGTCACAAAGGTGTCACAAACACTGCACGGGATTTCACTAAGTGCTATTAGTATGTAAATCAGACACATTAAATAGACCTGTTCTGGTTTTATAAATGCTACATCTGAACGCCAGGCAGGAAAGGGAATACATCTTTGAAACACACATATTGAAATTGGGTCAGTACAACCAGTCTTGTGATCCCGGAACCCCACCCTGACAGCACAGGCAGATACTAGACCATGGCAGCAGTACAGCTTGGAGAAGAAGATACCCCAGGTCTACTGATAAAGTCACCACTTTGCTGTCTCCTCCTGTCAGTCTGTATTGGCTCTTAATGCTGGCCTTTTTCTCTCCATACATCAGGTGTCTCCCCATCACAATGTCCTCCATTACAGTGTCTTCTGTACATCAGGTGTTCCTATATCATGGGTCCCCCATACATATTATGTGCCCCTATCAAGGTGTCCCCATATATCAGGTGTCCCCCCATCACAGGTTATCCCATCACTGTGTCCCCCATACATCAGGTGTTCTTATATCATGTCCCTCATACATCTTGTGTGTCCCTATCAAGGTGTCCCCATACATCCGGTGTCCTCCATCACGCCATCCCCATACTTCAGATGTCTCCCATCACAATGTCCTCCATTGCAGTGTCCCCCTATACATCCGGTGTGCTCCATCACAACGTCCCCATACATCAGGTGTTGTCCGTCACAATGTCCCCCATCATAATGTCCTCCATTGATGTGTCCTCCATACATCTTGTGTGCCCCTATCAAGGTGTCCCCATACATCTAGTGTCCCGCATCACAACGTCCCCATAGATCAGGTGTTCCTATATTGTCTCCCCCATACATCTTGTGTGCCCCTATCAAGGTATTCCCATACATCCGGTGTCCTCCATCATAACGTCCCCATACATTACGTGTCCCCCATCACAATGTCCTCCATTACAGTGCCCCCATACATCAGGTGTGCACCTATCAAGGTGTCCCCATATACATCAGGTGTTCCTATATCACGTGTCCCCATACATCTTGTGTGCCCCTAATAAGGTGTCCCCATACATCTGGTGTACTCCATCACACCGTCCCCATACATCAGGTGTTGTCCGTTACAATGTCCCCCATCACAGGTTCTCCCATCACAATGTCCTTCATTACAGTGTCCCCCATACATCAGGTGTGCCCCTATGAAGGTTTCCTCCATACATCAGGTGTTCCTATATCATGTGTCCCCCATACATTTTGTGTGCCCCTATCAAGGTGTCCCCATACATCTGGTGTACTCCATCACACATAATGTCTCCCATCACTGTGTCCCCCATACATCAGGTGCCCTCTATCTAATCACAGTGTCACCCATACGTCAGGTTCCCCATAACAGAGCCCATATACATCAGGTGTTCCTGTTTTGTGAATCCTTCCGCACGTGCCTGACTGTTAGTGTCACGGACACACCATATGCAATAACAAGCCCAAGGCAGCTCAGGATTGCCTCCTACTTTCATCTGACATACAATTTCTGACCATTTTTTTAGGAAGTCAGCCTCTCTCTTTTTGCTAGCGTTCAGCTACCTTGAGGACAAAAGTATAATTGACTTACAGAGAACATTCTAGAAGGACATTTTGCTGCTTTTGTCATGGAGCCTACTCCATCCTGAAACAAAAAGCACCATTGCCTCCATGGCCCAGATTGCCTTTTTGCAGCTGTATACAAGGTCCTGGCTAACAGCAGCGTGCCAAGGACTGGCATAACCTTCACACGGCTCCCTCTGCTGGCCAGGCTGCGTCTTCACATGCTGGGAGTTTTATGACCTCCCCACAGCACATGTCCTCCTTGTCAGGGATGGCGAGTCCTCCACGTGGTGAATTCTCCAACCGTGTTATTAAACGGACTGCTCGCTTATCTGTTTTTTTTAATGAAAAAAAAAAAAATATATATATATATATATATATTTAAAAAAAAATGATATATATATATATTTAAAAAAAAATGATATATATATATATTTAAAAAAAATGATATATATATATATTTAAAAAAAAACAATTATATATATATATATATAATATATATATAATTTTTTTTTAAAAATATATATAATAATTTTTTTTTGAAATATATATATATATATATTTTTAAAAATGTTTTTTATATATATATTTAAAAAAAATATATATTTAAAAATAAATAAATATATATATATATATAGCACACCTCATTGTCCGCAGTTTTATATTTATCTTTTCATGCTTACAAGCTAGTTTCAGTTATCAGCGTCTTTTTAGAGACAAAACCCACGATTACATTCCCATAAAAAGGAGAAACCACGCTGGATTGATGGCTGACTCTAGTTTAAAGAGGAAGTGTGTTTTTAGGACACATCTGCCCAAAAAAAAAAAAAAAATTAAATTTTTAGGATTTTTTTTTTTTTACTGTGTTAATTTGCGTTGCGTTTGAGACATGCAGCGTTTTTTGTTTTTTTTTTTTAAACCTCAAGACTCACATTTCTTGCAGTAATACTTCCTGATATATTTTGTGTATAGCTACAAATGTTAACCTCTTCAGTACCAGCCAGGCCATTGTAAAGTTTTCAGCGCTGTGAGAGTTTGACTGACCATGACTCCATCTTGCAGAACTGCTCCCAAAATTCATTTTTGTCCGGACGGCTCTGTTGTCAAGCCTTTAAAAGGGGCGTACAATGGCGCTTGGAAAATGACATTCCAGCACTCTGCAATTCATAGGGCCCCCTTGCGCACAGGGCTGCCTAGGAGCCGTGCGTCCCTGCCGGTGTTTCGGAGCTGCATTCACACTTGAGCGGTTTTGATTTGCTTGAAGCTCAAAAAAAGCTTGAGGAGAAAAAGTCAGTTATTCTCAATGGAGATAGTTCACATCTCCACACCAAGTCGCCTGAAGCTCCAACATGTTCTGGAGCTTTTTTTTTTTTTTTGTCCAAATTGGGCAGTTTTTCA